ACTGGTCTCCTTTAGGATGGACTGGTTGGATCTCCTTGCAGTCCAAGGGAATCTCAAGAGTCTTCTCCAACACCACAGTTCAAAAGCATCAAGTTTTCAGCGTTCAGCTTCCTTCACAGTCCAACTCTCACATCCATACATGACCACTGGAAAAACCATAGCCTTGACCAGATGGACCTTTGTTGGCAAATTAATGTCTGTGCTTCTAAATATGTTATCTAGGTTGGTCATAACTTTCCTTCCAAGGAGCAAGCATCTTTTAATTTCATGGCTGCAATCACCATCTGCAGTGATTTTGATTACTTCTAATACCCAATGCAAAGTAAATGCTATGTAAATAGCTGTCTACATGTAGGAAATTCAAGTTTTGTGTTTTGGAAATTTTTGGAATCTTTTAAAAAAGTTTGGTTGGTCAAATCTGCAGATGCAGAAACCACAGATGTGGAGGATTGACTATACCTCATTTTTATAGAGAAAAGTGTTCTCTACCTTGAGTGAGTCCCAGGATACTGATTAGTATATTTTCAGATGAACCTGGTCTCAATGTGTGTATGACACAAGATAAGCACATTGTAATTATGTCTTGGAGAAAACAAAAATATCCAATTAGGTTGGCAGGGATCCAGCTCGGGTGCCTTCTGAGTTGACCAGTGATGGTTAATGGAGCTGGTGCATCTTGGGATGCTTAGTTGGCATGTGTGGAACCACCACAGTCCCAGAGATGATTATGGGCTTTGTCTGGATGTCCTTTAATTCCACATTTGTCTCAGCTCCTTGCCAGACCCACGTATTTATTTATCATTCTCTGTGTCTGTTCCCAGAATATTTCTGTTTAGCAGAGAAGCAGCATCAATAAACCCCACTGTGTTAGTTAAGTTTATCAGACAGCAAAATTTCTGGCCATAAATTGTTGATTTTTTTTTTAGTTAAAGTATATCTTGTAAAGGACTGATTTCCAATACTAAAAAAAATCTTTTGAATTTGAGTCAGCTATGAACTTGTGAAGTCATGTTACATAAGCTCTTTATATTTGTACCAAGTTTTGAAACTTCCTAACTCCTCATTTAATTCAACAATAAATATTGTGTGCTCGCTAAGTGGCTTCAGTCATATCCGACTCAGTGAGACTACGTGGACTGAAGCCTGCCAGGCTCCTCTGTCCATGGGGATTCTCCAGGCAAGAATACTGGAGTCGGTTGCCATGCCTTCCTCCAGGGGGTCTTCCCGACCCAGGGATTGAATCTGTGTCTCTTAAGTTTCCTGCATTGGCAGGCTGATTCTTTGCCACTAGTGCCATCTGGAAATACTCTGTAGCCATCATTAATTCTGTTTTTATAGGAAAAGCAACTAATATTCAAAATTCCTGAGGCAGTTTTTCTATAGCTCTTGAAAATGTGATGGAATTTTTTAAATGTGAGATTCCTTGTGCTCGCATTTCCTCGTTAGGTGTGACAGGCCCCTGGAGGCATGCAGGTCTATTCCGTGTCATTCAAGAGATCTTTATGGGGCTGTTAGAATTTTGCAATTTTTCTTTGGTGATGATAAAGTAAACATGTTTTAGATTATCTGGATAAGCACCTTTTAGTCAGACATTCACATTCTTGATCATGTTGGTGCCAAGGGATGGCTTAAAATCACAAGATTTTGCTTTTAGTGTGTGGTTTCTCAAAGTCAGGTGCTGGGGAGGTGCCTGTTGCCCAGCTGAGAGAACCTAGAAGAAGATACTTTAAAAACTTGTGGCCACGGGCTGGCACTTTGAAGTCACTGCTTACAATTTGAAAGTTTAAGATGCAGAATCAGTGGATGTTTTCAGCTCAGAAGAGCTGAATGATGAGCTCTCAGTGAATTTAAGTTGCAAAATACAGTCAGTAGAGTCCACTTTGTAAAGTTATCCTCTTCATCTCTGACTGCAGATAAGTACGCTATAACCAGAGTTAATTTCTCTCTTGTAAAACCTTGTTGGAAAAAGTCCTAAGTTACCAACATGCAGAAACATTCTAAATCTGTCCTGCTGATATTCCTCTGGATGGTGTGTGGTATAACCCCAGGGGCAGGGCTGGGACTGGGGTGAGGAAGTGAGACACTTCCCTCAAGGGCAAAATGTAAAGGGCACCAGCTCCCTTTATCAAGTTATCAACTGATCAACTTCCTCCTCAGTTATCAAGGTAATGTTTTCATGTGATATGCTTTAAAAGCAATGCAAAAAACATCTATGATGAGCACAATATCAAAATCTGAGACAGAGGTGGGGCTCGCTCCCTTTAGTCTCAGGCTCGGACATGACTTATCACAGCGTTGCCCACAGTCGGTGGTTTTGCCAACTCTTCAGCAACTGAAGCAGTAGGAGAGGCGTTTCCAGACCATCACATTGAGTCTTCGCCACCTCTGCCACACAACGTTCAGTAAACCACCTCTGGAATCCTACTCCGGGTACCACATTGTGTATTAGGATTAGGTCCAGCTACAAAGAACAGAAAGTTCAAAGTGGCAGGACCTTAAAACAGAAGGTGAGTTCACTCACAGATAAAGGCAGGCAAGCCAAGTAGGCTGTTGTAGCTTCCTGACCGCTACGGGCTGTCTCATTCTCTCCTAATTCTCCACGGTCATCAATACGTGGTGTCCACCTCATGCCCAGAAAAGCTCCTCCTTCAGAGCTGTGTGGGCTCTGCTGGGTCCTCTGTCTCTCCATAGCCTTTAGAATCAGTTTGCCAATATCCACAAGATAACTAGCTGAAATTCAAGGTTACATTGAATCTATAGATTAGGTTGGGAAGGGCTGATGTTGAAGCTGAAACTCCAATACTTTGGCCACCTGATGCGGAGAGCTGACTCATTGGAAAAGACCCTGATGATGGGAAAGATTGAGGGCAGGAGGAGAAGGGGATGCCAGAGGATGAGATGGTTGGATGGCATCACCGACTCAATGGGCATGGGTTTGGGTGGACTCCGGGAGTTAGCGATGGACATGGAGGCCTGGTGTGCTACAGTTCATGGGGTTGCAAAGAGTCAGACACGACTGAGCGACTGAACTGAACTGAAGCCAGGTTCTCCAGCCTGTCCAGCAATCCAGTGAGTATTCAGTGGCCTTTCAGCACATTTTTTTCCCCTTCTTAAATCAGCCAGAATTAGTAACAGCTACCTGCCAATAAGAGCCCTGACCGATGCACCTTCCGTGACCCTCATCCTAATTACGCTCTCTGTGATAGCCTTATAACCACCTGTGCTTTTCTTTCATGTCGTTGGTAATTAGTTCAGGGTGATTGTTTCTTCTCCCCACCGACAAGGCTTCGCAGGGCCGAGATCCTGTATGTTTGCCATGGAAGTTCCCACATGAGTTCAATCAAGCAAACATCTAATTAAAAGGAGTCTTAATAGCATTGGCAAGACATAAAAGGTGGAAACCTCATGCTAGGAGACTGAAACCACAGAAGGCTTTAGCAGGCCAGTTTCCTTAAGGTGCATTTGAAATGAACCCTGCTTCTATAGTTGCTACAAGTCACGAGTCTGCTGGAACAGTCCCATCTTCATGTATCTCCTGACCGTTGTTCCCTCAAATAGGCTCAGATCCTGTGTTTTGGTTTGGCTGCCTTAAATCCGAATTACATAAGAGAAGGGAAGCCACAGTGCTAATTACAGGTTACTCCCACGGCAAATGCCTTACTGCGTCCCCCGTATCCTCAGATTAAAACTGACCTGCCCAAGTGGGCCATACCTTCGTTTTGCGGCAAGCCACCAGGGGCCACGATGGTGTCTCAGTGACCACAGACGGCACGTTCTGACAGCGCTCATCAATCCTTTGCTTTCTTCAGGAGATGTCCAGTGACTCTCTGCTTCTTCAGAGGAGGCGTTTGTTAGCAATCCGTGGCTCCTGGCAGTAAGCACTGACCGTGCTGGGCCATGCAGATGCGGACCTGCCCTGATGGCATGGGCATGAGGGGTACTGTACCCTCGTGGGTCCTTTCAATCCTGGCCGAGGGTGTTCACACCCGTGATGGCCCCTGGCCTGGTAAATCCCTGGGGGTGGTCGAAAACGGCTTCTTGTTTCCAGCTGATAGGGTTGCTCAGCGGAGGCAGACTCAAGGCCCCGGGTGACGCAGTCTGGGTGAGCAGGCGGGCTAGGGGTGGGGCAGGCGTTGCCCGCGGTGCTTCTCGCGGACGTGCAGTGGGGGTCCTCCCGCACACCCACCTTGGGGGCTCGCAACCCGGCCTCAGATGCTACTGCAAGGAGCTGTGTCCAGGGGACATTTGCCACCTAAGAATATTACTTGTCTCCAACACAGTGCAGTAGATTCTTCATTTCTGTCCTCGTATTTTTTGCATCTTCATTTGGCTGGTAAGTCCAAAAGCCAACATGTTAACATAAAATAATAAGAACAGCAGCAAATGTGCACAGTTTACCAGGCTCTGGACACCGCTCCACGTGTTTTACATACGTGAGTTCAGTTCACCTTCACGGCTCCCTGGTGATGCAGTGACTAGGATTATCTCCAATTTACAGAAGACAAAAACGGAGCTCAGGGAGAGTAAGCAGCTTGCTCAACGGCTTGCGGTTGGCGAGGGGTCGACCCCCTGTTTGAGCCCAGGCCACCTGCTCTGGCACCCACAGCCCTGGGCCAGTGCGTCTCTGCCCCCTCGCGCAGTTATCTTCCTGGTGATCGCGTTGCATTCAATACAAATACGATGTGCACTTGGGGCCTGAACACACGATTGTTTTCAGAGGCGAGGGGTCATAATGACTCACTCGACCAGTGTATTTTCTGAAGCTTTTTGAAAAATGCCCTTTACGTAACAGGCTAATACAATTGGCATATTCTTTTTATTTCTCATTATAAGTATCCATAAATAGTCCATAGTGTCCAAATTGAATGGGCATCAGTTTTTATATTTCTGGAGCTTCTGTGGCCAACACTGCCCACTCCCAGAGTGTCAGCCGGGGCTGGGGGCAGAGAACAGAAGCCTCTTTTGCTGGCTGGGTTTGTTACCTGGCCTTAGACGCTCACACGGTGGCGGGGCTCTCTCTCTGGGACCCCCAGCCTCACACTCGAAACTTCTGCTGTGATAGGAGCTCTGCCCCCTGGGGCCGCAGACACCACAGGAGCAGAAGGCCGACCCTGCAGCCCTGAGGGGAGCTGCCCGGATTGGCTGCTGGTGCCAGCGCTGCCAGGCTCCACGGCCCAAGGGCACCTTCACACCTGCCTCTCTTTCTGCACCTCCCGGCTGGCAGGTTCTCGTGGCAGAGCCATCTGGGAAATGCAGCTTTACCTCCCGGGCCGTGGCAGGGCGGGTTGGCTCGCCACCAGGGCCCGGAGTGGATGCTAGGAGAGCTGGCCGCCGGCACCCACGGCGGTCCCTTCTACCGGCCACTCGTCCTCCACATGCACCGTCCCTGTGACGGAGCGTCTTACCAGCAGCGCACATGTTCACCTACCAACGCGCATGTCCTTCCCCAGAGCGGAGGCCTGACTCCCCTTCAGCCCATGCAGGAGTTCTCTCCTCGTCCAGGTCAGCCCCAACCCTGCTTGGAGGTCCTGAAACCCAGCATCAAAATACACTGTTAACAGCCAACAATGGACCGGCAGACCTCATGTTATTGTGCTTTGCTTTATTTGGCTTTGCAGACACTGAGTGTTTCACAGATTGAAGGTTTGCGGTCCCCCCTGCACGGAACAAGTCTACTGGTGCCGTTTTTCCCCAAAGCATTTACTCACTTCACATCTCAGTGTCACGTTTCGGTAATTCTCAAAATGTTTAAAACTTTTTGATTATTGTTCTATTTGTTATGGTGATGTGTGATCAATGATCTTTGATGTTATTATTGCAAAAAGATTATGACTTGCTGAAGACTCAGAGGACAGCATTTTTTTAAGCAATAAAACATTTTAAAATTAAGGTATGTACATTTGTTTTTAGGCTTAAGGCTATTGCACACTTACTATACTATAGTGTAAACAAAGTTTTTATGTGCAGTGGGAAACCAAAAAATTCATGTGATTCGCTTTCTTAGAACATTCTCCCTATTGCTGTGGCCTGGAAACAAACCCCCAGTATCTCCAAAGTGTGCCAGTAATCTGTGTAAAACAGTGGAGGAAAGAGTGAGCGAGAAAGGGAAAGTTGGCTAGTGTGCGTAAGTGCATCCCTAGCAGAGGTGAGTCAGACCCCTGCACAGTCATTACAGTATCAGTCTTCGTGGAGTGACAGAAGGCTGCAGGCGGTAGGTGTAGATTCCTTTCCTCTTCTCCCTATTCTCTGTTTCTTGCGCTTTCAGTCGGATCCTAGTTGGTTGGGACGCTTTACTATAGAGGTGATGGAGATCATTATGCATGAGTGATCTGGGGTCTGGTCACAAGTGGTCCTCAGGAGTGACAGTGAGACCTGATGGTCTGTTTCCTGCTTTCTACTTTTGGCCTCTGGTTGAAGGCATATCCCTGGTCTTGCTCCAGGCTCCATCCAGCATCATGTTTTATCACAGACTCGTGAGGTGTTAGGTCATAAGTCCCAAGAGCCAGATGGAAAAGGCTCCTCTTGCTTTGGGCCCCACTCAAAACTGGCTCCCTTGGGGTTACCTAGTAAATAACCTGGGTCAGTGCAGCCGTATCTGGAGTGAGTTGTCTCCATGATACAAAGACATTCATCCGGCTTTGCACCTTATTATTCATCGTGGCGGTGCCAGGCACAGAACTTGTATTTAATTTCAAAGAGGATCTTCATCATGCCCCACGTTGCTACCTCAGACACCAGGAACTTTATGGAAGCCCCACACTCTAATGTCCTTAAGGCGCTTATCTCCCATCCCAGCGCACCTGTATCTATCGAGGTATCCAGGGATTTACCACCTCCTGCTCACTAGTCACTCCGATCGGTGCTGTAAGTGTAATACAGTGCATCAGGGGTGAGATGGTCTGCAGACTAAACAAAACACAGGGGCCTAGAGCTGGTGCTGTCTTGAGTAAGGCCATCCTTTGCAGTAATTTTCGGATGAAATTTATCAGTGCACCAAGTGGTAATGAATCTGCCTGCCGATGCAAGAGATGTCAGTTCAATCTCTGGGTCGGGAAGATCCCCTGGAGTAGGAAGTGGCAACCTACTCCAGTATTCTTGCCTGAGAAATTCGATGGACAGGAGAGCCTGATGGGCTATTGTCCATGGGGCTGCAAAGAGTCCGCCACGACTGAATGACTGAGCACACATGCTTCTTTGAGGTTTCTTTTTTTATTCTTCATTAGTTAGGCATGATTCTGTTTGCCTGTCAGGTTGACTAAAATTTAGGTGGCTTGCATGAAATGAACTGAAGATGCCAAAAATTCTTTAGATATGGTTAAAACAGACATATTTGCTGTGTGACGCAGGGAACTCAAACTGGGGATCTGTAACAACCTAGAGGGGTGGGATGGGGAAGGAAGTGGGACAGAGGTTCAAGAAAGGGGACATAGGTATACCTATGACCAATTCATCTTGATGTTTGGCAGAAACCAACACAATATTGTAGAGGAATTATCCTTCAATTAAAATAAATTTAATTATTAAAAAACACATACAAACATTAGGAGATGGGATGATTGGAGTGTACTGCCATCCTTGCCAGGTGAAATAAAAATGGGTTTGGTGTCCTCTGCTTATGAGAAAAGAGGAAGGAGAGTTTTCTGGATCAATAGCTGTTCACCAGGCTCTCACAGTTATACTGATGTTAACAGTCAACAGTCTGTATCCCTGGAGGGACATGTGCAGTTGGCATCCCCATTTGGTTGATTTTACAATGGCCCACAAGCCTGTCTTCTACACAGGCCAAGGCTGAGTCAGAACAGGGTATGATCGGAATCCTTAATCCTACACCATTCGAGAGTCACCGTCTTTGAAATTTCCCCTTGGATGATATATTGCCCTTGACTGACTGTTTAACTGGGAAGGGTATTTCCATAGGTCCCCACCTGGGGCTTCCTTACATAACCCTCACTTTACAGGTCAGGAAGACAACGTGGGGGTCCCCAAACATGTCTGTTCTGAATGTGAATGTGCAGTTCAGGAACTAGGACAATAATCACACATGACCTTCCATTGAGTTCACAGGGGACAGTTTGATCGGAAACATTTTTTATTTGGTAAGCTTCATCAGGGGCCCCTCCATCCGGTAAACCTCAGAGGCATTCCCACGCCCTGAGCATTCACATTATCTTAGAGCCAGGCTCCGAGGACAGAGGGCAGATGAGTCCCATGCACTGGGCTGTCACTGCACCATCTTGCTACAAAAATGCTGCATCCCCTCATTTTGTGTCTCTGAACTGACCCTGGGGCGGTGAGTGGCTGTGACTCCATGACAGAGACCAGAACCCTCGGGATCAGTCTAGCAGCCTCCAGTCATCAGGCCGAGATGTTCTGTTGGCTTATTTGTCTGTTTGCTTTCATATGAATCAAGTAGGAATCTTGGTGGGTTGCCTAGAACTGTCTTAGTTCTACAGACTTCAAGCTCACAGGTCCTCTGCAATGACTTTGGGATGAAATTTATCAACATGGATACACTGGTTCGAAATTTTTTTATCCTTGAATAACTGGGGGTGGTCTGTTTGCTTGTTGAGCTGACTGAAATGTGAGTATCTTGCATGACATTAAATGAAGATACCAGAAACTCTTAGATACGGTTAAAAGAGACATATAAACACAGGGAGGTGGGAGGATTGGAGTGAATGTATTAATCTGTCCACCCATCTTCATCCCCAAGATGACCCAGAAAAATACATCAGTGCTAGGATGCCAGCATCTTTAAAGGGACCACAGTGGGTGCCCACTGTGGGCTGAGGGGTGGGTAGAAGATTGTTGTTTCTGAAATGAGCTCAGTGATCTCAGTGGGGAAGACGGGAGCACCAAGGCAGACACCAGCAGCAGAGCTGAAGGGCCAGGGTCAAGGGCCAAGATGCTGTGACTCCTGGAAAGGGCAGCTGGGCCCGAGGGCTGCTCAGGGACCTAGTCTGCCCGCGTCTCCGGCAGGGATGATCCATCACGGGGCCTCTCCCGGCTTCATAACTGCCAGAGAAAATAATGTCACCCGGAATTTATTTCCACCTCTAAGTGAGAATAGCCTCCACCTCCGGTTCATCTTTTGCATGGGCAAACATCACACAAGGCTGAGATTTCCTTAGAGCAGAGCTTCTCAAGCTTTCACGTGTGTTTGTATCACCAGGATCTGTAGGCCCTGGCTCAGCAGGGCTGAGATGCTGCGGTCCTCACCGGGCCCGAGGTGACACCACACCCCTGCTCCCCGGCCCACGAGCAGGAGGAAGGCTGCCCCGTCCGCCCCGGCTCCGCTTTTACCAGAGCGGCTCCCCACTTTACAGGAGTCTCCTCTTAGATTTTCATGGGAACAGAAGCAGCTCTAATTTAAAACAGATCTAACTTTTTTAAACACCTGGTCTAAAGATTCATAATAAAATTTGATTTAAAAAGAGGCAGAGGACCAACTAACTCCAGTTCCCGTTGTTAAGAGCAAGAGAAGGCATTTTACTCCGGGGCTGCCTTTCAGATGTGGTGGGTGCTCCGTCGCTTCAGTTACGTCTGACTCTTGGCCACCCTCTGGACTGCAGCCCACCAGGCTCCTCCATCCATGGGGATTCTCCAGGCAAGAACACTGAAGCGGATTTGCCATGCCCTCCTGCAGGGGATCTTCCCGACCCAGGAATCGAACCCAGGTCTCTTATGTCTCCTGCGTTGACAGGAGGGTTCTTTATCACTTTTGCCACCCGGGAAGCCCCTTACAGATGGAGCTTTCAATTATCCTAGAAAACATTTTTGCAAAGCTTGCGGCCCCATGGACTGCAGCCCACCAGGCTCATCTGTCCATGGGATTTCTCAGGCAAGAATACTGGAGCGGGTTGCCGTTCCCCATGCCAGGGGATTTCTGCGACCCAGAGACTGAATCAGCGTCTCCTGAATTGGCAGGTGGCTTCTCTACCACTAACACCACCTGGGCAGCCTCTAAGGCCACTCATTGCAAAGCACTGTGAAGGCTGGATTCACCTGATATCAGCTTTTGCAAAGTGAAATTCTCCATCCATGGCCCTCCCGACTGTGGAACCATCTCCCCTAAAACTGCACTTTCCTTTGGCACCTCTCTCCCCGGCCTGGGGTCCCATCTGGCAATTTCCACGTGTGCATTTTTGTCGACCTGGCACTTCCTTTCAATCTCCTGCCATAGGAGAAGCCTCCTGTGCCCAAGGCCTGGAGTGCCGCCAACGAAACATTTCAGGTGGAGTTTGTGAGGACTCTTTGTGTAGGGATCACATTCCTGCAGTGAAATTATGAGGAAATGAGGAAAGGCAGGAGAAAATAGCTTTCAAATAGACATCACCTATGCATTTGACATGCTTCTAAATTTTTATAAATGCCAATGACTTTCAGTTTCAGAGAGGCAGGATATTTATTACTGGTTCACCTTCCGTTGGTCTCGATTCCTAGCATGTTAATGTCATGTCCTTCCACCTATTGAAGTTCTTTTCAAATTATACTCAGGGCTCCATTTAAATGTCACTTTCTCTGTGATGTCATTCTGGACAACCCTGTTCTTGTCAGAAATAATTGATCCCTGCTCTGCCCTCGTGTGTAGCTGCGTAGTGGCTGCCAATAGATTTTAGATATTAATAACAGATTTATTATAGACTCTGAAGTAGTCTTTATAAGGATATTGAAGAGTAGTTTTTAAAGTAACCCAAACAGATCTGGTAAATCCTTGTCCATTCTACCTAATAAAACACACGTAATTAAATTGTGTATATGTTTCCATCTTTTATTGGGGGAGGGCATGGCAACTCAACCCAGTAGCCTTGCCTGGAGAATCCCCATGGACAGAGGAGCCTGGTGGGCCACAGTCCACGGGGTTGCAAAGAGTTGGACACAACTGAGCGACTAAGCACATATATGTTTTATCGGTGCACTTAAAAATTTTTTTAAATTAATTTATTTTTATTTTCGGCTGTGCTGGGTATTTGTTGTGGAGTGCCGGCTCTCCACCCTCGGTAGTGGTGGCACCCAGGCTAAGCTGCATCCACAGCATGTGGGTCCTCGTTGCCAGACGGGATGGAACCCGTGTCCCCTGCGTCGGCAGGCAGAGTCCCACTGGACCACCAAGTCCCTCTTGGGTCGCTATCACTGTAGCCTTTAACACAGCTAGTCTTACATAGCACACTCTTCTTTCCTGTAAGTTGCAAGATAATAAAAGAAAAAGATCACGTCTGTGTGTTCTTTCTAAATTTTTAATGCAGTTCTTAAGTGTTGCTTTCCACTTACAGCTACTACAAAATATTGGCTATATTCCCTGTGTTGTGCAGTACATCCTTGCGCCCGTCTTACGACCGGCAGTTTGGACCTCTTATACCCCCACCCTCACACTGCCCCTCCCCCTACCCACTGGTAACCACCCATTTGTTCTCTATATCCGTGAGACTGCTGCTTTTTTTCCCTCAAATTCACTAGTCTGCTGTTTTTTAGATTCCACATATATGTGAAATCATGCTGTATTTGTCTTTCTCTGACTTATTTCACTTAGCACAATACCCTCCAGGTCTATCCATGGTGCTGCAAATAGCAAAATGCCGCTGTTTTTTGTGGCTGAGTAGTATGCCATTGTCTCCGTCTCTGTCTATGCACACCGCCCCTTCTTTACCCATCCTTCTCTCCTTGGACACGTAGGTTGCTTTCACACATTATTTATTCTTCACATTAGAGCTAATATCTACAAGCTCCCCACTCCTGTGAAACCCACACTATTGTAAGTGAAATTTGATGTATATACGTGTGAACACAATTTGGGGGGCGATGGATCTGTATAGTTCTTTAATTTCTCGAAAGAATCTGAGGACTTACAGAAATTAATACCCATTGGCCTAAAGAATCTCATGGTGAGTCTGATTAGGAAGCAAAACCCTGTTTATAGCACACCTGTCTTTGCAGTGCTCCTCAAGCCCTAATTTGGAGGTTCTAAGACTTGGATCCGGGGTGTTTGCTGTGTGGGAAACGGGGCGCGTGCGTGCAGGGACTCACTTACAAGGGTTCTGCTTCCGTGGTTGGTGGTCGGCCGGCAGGCCTGCGCAGTACTTCACGCTTCCCCTGGGAGGTGAGCGGAGGCAGGGGAAGGGGGGTGGCGGGGAAGGGGGTCAGGGGGGAAGGGAGGGCGGCAGGGAAGGGGGGCCCGGCGGGGAACGGGGGGCCGGCGGGGAAGGGGGGCCGGCGGGGAAGGGGGGGCGGAGGGGAAGGGGGGCAGCTGGGCAAGAGGGCAGCATGATTAGCAGCTCCGGTGAGAGCGTGTTTGGCTGGAGTAAGGCGGCATTGGGATTACTGATGCGAATGAGGTTTGGGGATTTTCGCTGGATATCAATTATCCATGACCTATGGTCTCCCCGGCTACCAAGGACTTAATGTTGCCTGTAAGCTTCAATGATTTCTTTTAATTAAATGTAAAAGATCAGACCTACGAAGGCTGGGGAGCCCTGTGAGCTGGGGCTAAGACTCCCTCACCTGGGCTCAGGTTCTGGCCCGGGGAAGAATTTGATTGGCAGGAAATAGCGGGATTTCATTTTCTGTCTCTGATCCATTAATAGGCCGAGCGTGCCCTGGGCTGTCTTTGGGAGACCATCCTTATAAAGGGCAACTCTTCTCAGCCAGGAGGCAGGGGACTCTGGGAAGAGGCGAGGGGAGAAGGAGAGGGGTGCGGAATCTGAGAAACCCCGGGCCGTCTTGTGCCCACCCTCCCCTCCCACCCCCATCCTAAACAGAAAGCGTGCCGGTCTGGAAGGAACGAAATGACACGCGCACTTCACAAGGCGTGTGTTGACGGCGTGGCTGCCTTGGCTGCCTGCAGCAGGTGTCACTTTGCTCAGGGTGGGCCCTGGGACCTGCATCCCCTGATCCATGCATGCTGTGTTCTAGGGTTTCGCTCCCCGCTCCTGCCTGCACCCTTGCCTCTTCCCCACTCGTGGCGCGTGAATTCAGAAAGTAGACAGTCGAACGGCAAACGCCATGTCGTGTCCCGAATCATGAGTCTCCCTGGAAAGCAGGAGTATTTTTTTTTTTCTGGAAGTCACTCTCATTTGCCTGACTTTTGTTGATTGCTGAGGGATGAAATCCAGCCGCCTCTTCTGCCCTCGTGCTGGAGAGCAGAGACAGAAGAACAGCTCTGGGAGTTTTTCCGAAGGGCACTGGTGTCTCACCGGGCGAAGGCAGGGACTCGCCGCCGGGCAGCTGCATGTGGGCCTGCTGGAGCTGCCCCGCTGGACGAGGCCTCGGCTTCCTGGAAACACAGCAAGTAGTAGTAGCCTCGGCTCCCGGCGGGCCACACCACAGAACCACCTGCCGCGAGTAGGACGGCATCACCCGGTGCCTTGAGGGTTCCCGACACATTTGCTGTAAGTGGGCTCAGAAAACCACTCAAGGCAAGGAAAACACACCCAGGAGAGATTCCTGACAACAGCTCGGTGGGATCTTGTGAGCAGACTCAGGTCCAGAGCAGGTTAGTAATTGACTCGGCGTCACAGAGACGGCTGCACATACCTTTAACTCGGCTCACATTTCTCAGGCTTACAATTCAGCCCAGGGCGTTACTGCATTTGGCTCTCTTCCTGTAACTTTGCTTTCCACAAAAAAGAACCCAAGATAAAGAATGGTTACAGGAAGAGGAACAGAAGAGCAGTGTCTTCTCATTTGACTCGCAGATCTGCAGACCCAGAGGAGAGCTGACGTGAGTGAGTGGCAGGGTGCGTGCCAGGCCCCAGGGCACACGCCAGCTCCTTGGCTTGCAGCACAGTCACGGTGACCCGTCCTGCCTCCCGCGGTGGTGGGCCACGGGGCCAGGCACGCGGTCCTGCCGCCGCGGGGACGGGGTGGGGGAGCACGTGCCAGGAGGGACAGAGACTCACCTTCAGGGCGCCTGTGCCATGACCCCAGCGGCTTTCTGAAGCTGAGACTCTTTCCCCCTCGGAGGCCTCACTTCCTGCTGGAGTCCCACCGGCAGCTCTGAAATCACTCAGGTCAAGGTCAGGTGACCGGAGCGGGAAGCCAGACGCAGGTCAGTGGATTCAGAGAACTGAACAGACGCCTGCACGGCCGGCTCCCAGCTGTGGCTCAGCGGATGTTCTGAGTCTCGGAGCCTAAATATTTGTGGATGAGAATCGCAGCTTGTGGAACCAGCAGCGAATGAGTAGATTTGAAAGCTGAAGAGGGTGTGGAGGCATGATGACGGGCGAGGGGTCGGCCCGTCTCCTGAAGCCGCTCTGAGGACGTTTCTGTGCTTGAAGGGCTGACCGCTCTGGAGGATGCTGACGAGCAGGTGCCGGAGTCCTCGGGGGAGCCTGGCCGTGGTGGTTCCTCACTGAGCAGGTGCTTGGCTCAACCCCAGCGCTGCGCTCATCCCCGACGTAACGGGAGAGAGACCCCCAAGCAGACGGCCGTGGAGAGAGGGCTCCTGGCTTCCGGCCACCAGATGTCACAGAGCAGCAGGTGGACGTGGGAAGGGACAGTCGGCCAGAGCCCCTGGCTGGAGGGTAGCGGCTGTGTAGGCAGCCTTGGGTCACCACCTGGGTCCCGGGAGGAGCTGCACGGGGAGCACTGCTGAGGCAGGAAGGGGGGACGGGGAGCCGTGGGTGCTGCAGAAACCCTCGTGTCATGAGGGCCCAGCATGTACCAGCGAGGACGAGGAAGACCAGGACCCACAGGGGCTCCCCCCTGGTGGAGGCTGGATGTTTCCAGGACCCAGGGGAGCACAAGGGGGCTCCCACCCCTGATGGAGGCTGGGCAAAGCGACAATATTCACTGGGTCCCTCCTGAGCAGCGGGTCAGGGAAGGAGGGCAGAAAGGCGCTCTACTTTCTACCAAGCATAGAGGGTCCCCCACCCGTATCTCTTCACCCTCCCCTGTCTAAAGCTTAAGCACCCCTTCAGGAGGCTACGCCAACAACTGCATTATTCCAGACGCCCAGCTGGCTCTCTCAGCACTCCTGATCCCACATTTATTGGGAGTCATTTACGTGGGAGGCCCTGCGCCTGGTGGTCACATCAAACCAAGCTTAACAGACAGTAACACAGTCATCCCAAGAGCAGACTTGAGGTGCACACTAATGCAGCACTTTGCTTTTATTGGCAGATTCTATCTGTGAAATGGGTGTGACGATGCCCACCTCATGCGATAGACATGAGGATCGTATCTGTTCTTCTATGAACCAACCTACACCATGTCTGCAAGAGACAGGCCCTGGGGGTGAAGGTGCCCCCCTTGCCCACCCCACAGGAAAGTGGCTCAGGTGCTGGGTGGGGAGGACGCTCGCAGAGAATACAAGTGAGTCCCAGCCGATGCCACGCACTCTGAAATTGCAGCCCGAGAGGTCACGGATGCTCGGGAAAGAAGGTTTTGAAGGTGCCTCCACAGCAGGGGTGGAGCAGGTGGCATCCAGTCAGAGGGGAAGGCACAGACCGGCCCAGACACTCCTGGGTTTTCACTGGACCCATTGCCCACTGTCCAGCCCGATCCTGAAAAATATTAAGATAAGTTTATCACACGATTGCTGGGAAGCGGTGCTGCTCCTCTGGGCTTTCGTCTGAAGAACAGAGTTTTGTTAACGAGAAATGTCCAGTTGCGAGCACGGCTGAAGACTGTGGAGGTGCTGAGAGGGACGGCGGGGGGCACAGAAAGGACCAGAGGGTGGGGCCGCCCCTGGTCGGAGAAGGCCAAGAAGGGGGCAGCCTGGGAGGAGGGGGTCAAGGTCAACATCGCCCCCTCCCCCCCCTGCCCAGACGACTGCCCGGGGCAGACGGATGTCCCTCCTCCCGTGGAGACTGGAGCGGCGGGCCCGTCTGGGGCTGCCCCGGGGTCTCCCGCTCCCCCCTGCCCTGACCAGCAAGCAGTGAGCAGACGGCGGTTTCTGCAAGTGCACGGCGCTGCCCTAAGCTCTGGGCAGCATGCCTGGGGCCCCGTCTCCCGGGGGTGGGCGTGTGGTGGCGGGCAGCCTCAGGTCAGCTCTAACAAGCGCTTTAAAGGCCAAGAGGTCTGCGATCTTCAGACGAGCCTGTCTCCAACTGCTTTCAGCAGCACACACCCGGGGCATGTCCTCACTGCTGGTGAGACACCCATGGGCTGTGGCTGAGAAACAGTGTCTGCACCCCAGGTCTGAGCACCCCAAAGCGCAGGCACCTTGGAAGCGGCAGCTCAAGGCAAAGCCCAGAGCAGGAGCAGTGAAGGGCACCACCTGGAGCCTGGAGGCTGCAGAAGCAAAGGTCTCAGGAAGAGAGGTGAAAGTGGGGGTCAAGGCCGAGCGAAGCTTTCGCACGTTGCCTCCCTCTCCCGGCTCCAGTCCTCGAACCTGCACCCAGCACCCAGCACAGGAGCGGATAAGCGTTCCTAAATCCGGGGAGGCTCTGCAGGCTGCGTTTTGCCAGCCCCTCCTCCTCGTCTTGCCTCTCCTCGTCTCCCACAGGAAGGAGGGGACAGGCTGTCACATGAGTCCCCAGACAGGAGGGTCCCCATCCCTCACTTGACGTGTTACGTGTTATAAACTGCTTCGGGGAGCAGGCCTCGATCCCCAGGGCGGCCTTAGCCAGAGGGAACCCGCAGAGAGTGCCTGTGAAGCCTTCTCCTCTCACAGGCGGTGGAGACATGGCCAGGGGCTTTATTGACCACGGAAGGCCTGGATGCTCTGAGAGGGCAGACGCTGGATTCCTTCATTTGTGACGAGTGGAAAAACCCTGCCTCAAATAGGCCTAAATGAAAAGGAAATCTATTCCCTCTCATCAGAAGGGGCTCGGTATTGGTGAGTTCAGTGGCTGCAATGTCACGATTGGTGGGTTCCTTCTGCCCGGCCAACCCAGGGCTGGCTTTATCCCTGGGGAGCCGGACGGGCTGCAGCAGCCCTGCCATTGTCTACTCACAGACCGTCTCTGCACAAGGAGCAAGCCCTCCTGGGAGCCCCTCACCCGCCCCTTGTCTCCAATGAGCAGCTAACAAACCAGCCCCGGGCAGAGGGATGGGGGAAGCCACCTCGGGCCTGCACCTCTTGGGGTCTCCTCTCGGTCAGGGTCGGAATGGCAGCTGGAGCCCCCTGAATCACGCAGCGGGGAGAGGAACCTTCACAAAGTCGGAATTCTGCTCCACAGGAGGACGGCTGAGTGGAGGAAGCAGGGGTTGGATGAACAGCTAAACCAACAGCGCCAGCGTCTTTCCCAGCAAAAAGCTGGTGTGAGTAATGACTTGGTGGTGGTTTAGTGGCTCAGCTGTGTCTGTTTTATGACCCCATGGACTATGGGCTCCTCTGTCCATGGGACTTCCCAGGCAAGAATACTAGAGCTAATTGCCATTTCCTTCTCCAGGGGATCTTTCTGACCCAGGGGGTCAAATCTGAGTCTCCTGAACTGCAGGCGGATTCTTTACCACTGAGCCACCATGAAGGCCCACAAATTTCAGGTATGCAGTGACCACGAAGGGAGAATGACTTGCATGGAGCTAATCCCGAGTGTGTCCATGATCGTAAGCGAGGGGACAGGTCCACCGCACCCCCAGAAGTCCTCAGGGAGGCCGCAGTAAGCTCAGCTCTGCACCTCTCGCCTGCTCCCCACCCCAGAAGGAGGCTCTGGAAGCAGACACAAGGCAGCTACTGGGGTGGGGGCAGGCGGGGGGGAACAAGGTGCATTGGAGGAAAAGGTGCAGAAACCCGCTTTTCCTCTGTGTCCCTCCAGTCTTTCCAGAGCCTCCAGATCCTACAGGGCTCCCAGCAGAGCTGAGACCTGGTCCCGCCCCTTGGTGGGGTCTGGACACAGCCCACAGGGAGTACAGCTGAGATCAGAGCTGGCCCCAGCCCAGCCCCATGCCACGGGGACGAGGAAGACGGTGGCTGGCAGGACTGGGTCTCTGCGGGCGCTCTGGGCCCGCGGCCTCAGGATCCCGGGGGGAGCACCCTCCAGTTGTGGTTGTTGCTGTTTAACCGATCGATGCTTCCATTCACATTAAAACTCAAAGCAGAACCTCACCTGCTCTCCAGTGAGGCACAGAGGCGCAGGAGACGAAGCATACGACAGGTACCGCTGGGACGGATCGTGGGGTGCGATGGAGGCTTTTCAGCAAAGGAGTGACGTGACCTGGCTTACGTCATCAAAAGTGTCTCTCTGGAACTTAGCTCAGAATAGACCTTTTCCTTTTTTTTTTTAGTTTTTATTATTGGAGGATAGTTGCTTTACAGTGTCTCATGGTTGACCTCCTCCCAGAGCTGGACGAGGCCCTGGGCGGTGAGTAGTGTTTCTATTAGCTGTAGGGCATGGAGTGAGACTCCCTTATTTGTTTATTTAAGCTTTTTTATTTTCTATCGAGGGTATAGCCGATTAACAGTGTTGTGATAGCTTCAGGTAAGCAGCGAAGGGACTCGCCATACATATACATGTATCCGTTCTCCCCCAGACCCCCTCTCATCCAGGCCGCCACGCAACACTCAGCAGGGCTCCCTGCGCAGGTCCGCGCTGGCTATCCACTTTAAACGTAGCAGTGTGTACACGTCCGTCCCAAACCCCCCACCCCTTCCCCTCATTCTTCCCCTTGGCAACCATAGTTTGTTCTCTAAGAAATTCCCTTATTTAAATTGAGAGAAATTTTGTATTAGAAAACATTTATTTGGGGGAATAGATATTGCTAACATAAGAAACTAAGTTGAGCTTTAAAAAAATACTGATGGGAACTCAGGGGAGCTAAAAATGGAACATTATTACACTGTGTGGCGGAAAAGAGGTGGGCTGCATATTATTTTACTTCATTCTATTTGGCTTTGAATTATGGGAGTCATTCCTTCACAGTTCTGGAGGCCAGATGTCCAAAGACAAGGCATCAGCAGGGTTTGGTCCTTCTTTTTGTGTTATAAACATTTATTGCAAAAATTTATTTTTTATTTATTTTAATTGGAGGTGGAGAAGGCAGTGGCAGCCCATTCCAGTACTCTTGCCTGGAGAATCCCAGGGATGGAGGAGCCTGGTAGGCTGCAGTCCATGGGATCGCAAAGAGTCGGACACGACTAAGCAACTTCACTTTCACTTTTCACTTTCATGCATTGGAGAAGGCAATGGGAACCGACTCCAGTGCTCTTACCTGGAGAATCCCAGGGACGGCGGAGCCTGGTGGGCTGCCGTCTATGGGGTCGCACAGAGTCGGACACGACTGAAGCGACTTACCAGCAGTAGCAGCAGCAATTATTTTACAATAATGTAATTATTTTACAATATTGATTTTTGCCATACATTGATATGAATCAGCCATGGTTGTACATGTGTTCCCCATCCTGAACCCCCCTCCCACCTCCCTCCCATCCCATCCTTCTGGGTCATCCCAGGGCACCATCCCTGAGCATCCTGTCTCATGCATAAATTTTTAATTGTAAAAAATTCATAACAAAATTTACCATTTTGACTATTTCCAAGTGCATAGCTAAGGACTGTGTGTATACACGTATTCATATTGTGTACAGACAATTTTAGATAAACATTTGATTGAGGTGTACCTGCTACAGAAAAATGCACAGAATTTTCACAAAGTGGACATCCCCATGCAATCTAGTCCAGATCAGAAAACAATGCTGTCAGTGCCTGAGGAGGCTTCCACACAGCCCTCTGAATCATTTCTCTTCTGTCCCACGTCCAGAAGGTAACCAGCCACTAACTTCCTTCTACCACCGTCGCAGTAAGCTTGCCTGTTTTTGAACCTGGCATAAATGGAATGACATGGAATGCACTCCCATGTGTCTGATTTTTTGTTGTTGTTGTTCAAAGACATGTTTGAGAAACTCCTCCATGTTGTGGTAATTGTTCCTGTTCATTGCTGTATAGTATTCTACTGTATGACTACAGCACAGATTTTCTATTCTGCTGTGGATGAACACTTGGTTGGTTTCTAGTTTGGGGCTACAGTGATCAATATTCTTTACTAGCTCAATGAAAGTTCCTATGAGGACTTTTTCCCTTGCCTTTTGGTGCACACTTGTGATGCAAACCCAGGAGTAGACTCACTGAACAGTGGGGTTGGCATATGTTCAGTTTTAGTCAGCTTGTTGCTGTTCAGTCGCTAAGCCATGTCTGATTCTTTGCAACCCCATGGATTGTAGCCCACCAGGCTCTTCTGTCTGTGGGATTTTCCAGACAAGAATACTGGAGTGGGTAGTCAGTCCTTTCTCTAGGGGATCTTGCCCATCCAGGGGTTGAACCCACATCTTGATACTACCCTAGAATTTTCCAAAGTGATTGTACTAATTTACATTCTCAGTAACAGTATATTAGAGTTCTAATTACCTTATGTCTTTGCCAACTATTGGTATAGTCTGTCTTCTTAACATCGATTCTGGTGCATGTGTAATGGAATCTCATTGGAGTTTTAATTTGCATTTCCCTGATGAACAGTAAGGCTGAACACATTTTCGGATGCCTATTGGCCGTTTGGATGTCTTCTTTGATGAGGCACCTATTCAAGGCCTTGACCTCTTTTTAAAAATTGACTTTTTTCTTACTGATTTGTAGGAAATCTTTATATTTTCTGGGCACAAGTTTTTCATTGACTATATATATTGCAAATATCTTCTCTTACTCTGAGGCTTGCTTTTTCACTTTCTCCCCTAACTAGTGACTTTTGTTGATCAGAAATTCTTAATTGTAACACAGTGCAGATTAACAGTCTTTCCTTTAAGACCAGTGCTTTTCATGTGTTCTGTTGAGAAATACTTGTCCATCTCAAAAGTCGTGGAGACACTTCCGTATGTTATTTTCTAGAGCTTTATTGTTTTACCTTTCATATTTGTATCTGCAATTCACCCTGGAATTGATCTTGCATGTGGCATGAGGTAGAATCATTCTTCTTATTAACTCATCCTTGTGTCTTTCAAAAGACTGTTCATTGTGATGTTTCAAGCTGAATGAGTCAGACATGCCAGAGAAACTGGCTTCCATGGAACAACCTCCCTATTTGCTATTTTGTCCTCAATTAGAGAAAAGACTCTTTTTACCCCAGTCTGTACAAAGAAGACATCAAGCTACACTAAACCTCACTTTGTTGACAACTGTATGAGTGTTAGTAGGTTCCGGAAGTTCCTAGAAGTCCATCCTTCAAGAGGACTCAAGTCCCACCTGTGTGCACTTGGTGGTGTTTCTTTTTCTAAAAGTGAGCATAAGTATTTCCCTTCTGCTTGAGGTCCAGTGCCTGGGTCTGCAACTCCTGCCTTGTCACACTGGAAGGAAGAAGCTGTGTCACCTACCTGTCATTCATCTTCTGTAACCACGGTTACCCGCCTCCGGGTGATAAATGGTCTCCGGTCAGATGACCGTCAGGCTGCACAGCCTCTGACGGAGGGGTGTCTCTCCCCAGGTTAGGTTACTGACTCGCTAGGTGGTAAATCTGTCTTCTAAGCTCCTCGTCCCACGGCGCTCTACCTCCGTAGCTGCGATCGCGTGTGAAGCCCTCTGAGATACAGCGTCGCTCTGAGTACGTGTCAGCCTCCCCTTCCCGGTCAGTCCTGCTCCAGGGGCGTCTGGCGGCCTCCCTTTCACTCCGTCCACCTCCTCTGCAACCTGATGGATTGTACTGTCGGTCGAAAGTCACTCTCCTTTGATGCTACATTTTCTCTTTCTTTTTTCACTTTTCATGCCTGTTGAAGATACTCTTCAATAGCTTTATTGGGCTGCTATTTTGCTTTGAAAGAGATACTGCTCTTTTGAAAGAGCAGGTTTATCTTTTAGCATAAATCCATCTTTTAGAGTTTTCAGGCCTCCGTGAACAGTTTGTTTGATTTCATGACACCCTTTCCCCCCAAAACAAGGACTAAAATTGTACAAGGCATGCTTCTACCAAGTAACTCTAATTTGGTTTTGGGAAAAGGTCAAGAAATTTGCAATTCACAGCCTAATGTAATGGAAATATCACTCAAATGGGAGCTAGTGGAGGGGATTCCAGGCCCAGTTTTGCTGTCAGTTCCTTATATGACCCGATGTTTCTCTTCAGAATCTCAGTTTCCTTTTCATTTAAAAGGAGGAACTGCCTCTTGAGGTCAACCGTAATCGTGTAGATTTCTCTGCAAATGGACACACTTGAGATTGGAGGGTCAGGACTATGAACCAGTCATATAGATTTCCTTTATCTCTATTAAGGTTTTATATTTTAAAGAATTTGTATATGGAGACATTCCTATATCTGCGTGCACGTGCATGCATGTGCCCGATTATTTCCGACTCTGCGACCCCATGGGCTGTAGCCCACCAGGCTCCTCTCTCCTTGGGATTCTCCTGGCAAGAATACTAGAGTGGGTTGCCATTCCCTTCTCCAGGGGATCTTCCTGACCCAGGGATCGAACCTGCGTCTCCTGCATTGCAGGCAGATTCTTTACCATCTGAGCTACCAGGGAAGCACTTATAACAGAAGTCAGTCTTACTGGGTTTCATCTCTCACACACACACACACACACAGCAAAACCATGGAAACCTGAGTAATGGCTTACTTAGACTTCAGTGTTCAGCATGACAGTAGAAGTGAAGTACAAAAAAGACTGGACAGTTTTGGGCATTAATTTCAAATTTGCTCTATTAATTTATTTTGTACAGAATCATTTAAATGTTGATATTTCTGTTTTAAACTATTTCACTTGAGTCTTTTGAAAATACATCTTGAAATCAGATGTATAGTAGCTGCTATTATTTTCCTCTTTTGATAGGTAGCTTAAAAATACACTTTTAGAAAGCCCTGGTGATGGAGGTTTCTGGGGACTGTTCTCTGCATCAACACACACTTATTGGGCATTTTCTGTGTATAAGGCCCTGTGGAGATGTCAGAGATGTAAATAAGATGTGGATGTCATCTTTAGGAAGTCTGCAACTAGCCTGGACAAATGAGACTGAAGTGAAAATGTAAATCACAGTAAAAATGTAAATAATGATTAAAAGCCATGAGTCCCAGGCTTTTTTTTTTTTTAAGAATCTGATAAAGTGATTCTAAAGTTCATTGAGAAGAAAAAATGAGCAAGAACTGCCAAGAAAAAGTTGAAAAGAATTATAAGCAGTGATTGGGGAGGAGGAAGTGTTTTTACTGCCAGCTGCCCAGAAGGACTATAAAACCACTGCAGTTACAAAAGTCTGCAGTTATTCAGGATCAAATAAGGCAGTAGAAACAGACTCAAGTATGTGCATGTGTGTGCCTGCATTCAAGTTATGATAAAATTGGCATTTTAAATCACAGAAAAAGGTAATATTTCCTAATTGGTAAACTCTTTGGAGGGCTTCCCAGGTGGAACCAGTGGTAAAGAATCCACCTGCCGATGCAGGAGATGTAACAGACCTGGGTTCGATCCCCTGGGGTCAGAAAGATCCCCTGGAGGAAGGAATGGCAACCCACTCCAATATTCTTGCCTGGAGAATCCCATGGACAGGGGAGCCTGGTGGGCTACAGTCCACGGGGTCGCAAAGAATTGGAGGTGACTGAGTGACTTAACACTCACATCTGTGAATCAGCTGGGTGGTTCTTCTCATTCGGACCAGCTTGGGCTCCATCGTTGTCTGCAGTCAGGCTGGCCACAGATGACCTGGGATAAGCTTACCGAGCAGCCTGGCGGTTGACAGGCTGTCGGCAGGGGTGGCGGGTGACTGGGCCCCGTGTGGCAGCCATCAGCACGCCAGTCTGGCTTCGTCCCGTGGGGGCCACTGTAGGGTTCCCAGGAAACGGCAGAGGGCCCCCCAGCGTGTGAGCACACCGCCCGTCTCTGCTCGGATCGCTTGGCTCGTCAGGTCTCACGGCCAGCACAGACTTTAAGGTGGGAGACGTAGGGGCAAATGCCAGGAGGGCAGTTTTACCCTCTCCCAAGATGCGTTAGTTAGTAATGAGCCTTAGGAACCGTCTAAATGGCGACGCCCTTGGTGGTCCAGTGGCTCAGACTCCACGCTCCCAGTGCGGGGGCCGCTGGCTCCCTCCCCGGTCAAGAACTAAGAGTTCCCACGCTGTAGCTTAACGTTCCCAGAAGCTGCAACTAAGAACCAGCGCAGTCAAATTAATTAAAATTTTTAAAAAGATATCTAAATGTCCAAAAATAGGGAAATGGCAAAATAAAATGCAATTCAACCATATGATAATATAGGGAAAGAAAACTGGTATATACAAATGCCTTGTGAAAACACAAAACCACTTTAGTGAAAAAAAAAAGCTTAAAAAAATGACACAAAAACAAACTCTAAAATGTTTTCACACCTATCTCTGAACAGAACGGTTATGAGAGAAATATTTCCTTCAGTTATAGGTTGGTCTGGTCTCCACCTCTTGGGACCATAGGTAAGTTACCAAAACTCTTCAAGCCACAGTTTCTTCATCTATAAAATAGGAGTTACAGATTAACATCTACCTGGATAAGTTGTTATGAGGATTAAATGAGATGTTTCATGTGAAGGGTTTCACACATAGCAATTGGTCAATACATGGTCAATAAGAATTCATTTTTTTTCAGTTAGAGAACAGAATAATACTGTTTTTCAGTTCAGTTCAGTTCAGTTGCTCAGTCATGTCCAACTCTTTGCGACCCCATGAACAGCAGTATGCCAGGCCTCCCCGTCCATCACCAACTCCCAGAGTCCACCCAAACCCAGGTCCATTGAGTCAGTGATGCCATCCAACCATCTCATCCTCTGTTGTCCCCTTCTCCTCCTGCCCCCAATCCCTCCCAGCATCAGGGTCTTTTCCAATGAGTCAGATCTTCACATCAGGTGGCCAAAGTATTGGAGTTTCAGCTTCAACATTAGTCCCCTCAAATGAACACCCAGGACTGATCTCCCTTAGGATGGACTGGTTGGATCTCCTTGCAGTCCAAAGAACTCTCAAGAGTCTTTTCCAACACCACAGTTCAAAAGCATCAATTCTTCAGTACTCAGCTTTCTGTATAGTCCAACTCTCACATCCATTCATGACCACTGGAAAAACCATAGCCTTGACTAGACGGACCTTTGATGACAAAGTAATGTCTCTGATTTTTAATATGCTATCTAGTTTGGCCATAACTTTCCTTCCAAGGAGTAAGTGTCTTTTAATTTCATGGCTGCAATCACCATCTGCAGTGATTTTAGAGCCCAGAAAAATAAAGTCAGTCACTGTTTCCACTGTTCCCCCATCTATTTGCCATGAAGTGATGGGACCAGATGCCATGATCTTAGTTTTCTGAATGTTTGGCTTTGAGCCAACTTTTTAACTCTCTTCTTTCACCTTCATCAAGAGGCTCTTTAGTTCTTCCTCACTTTCTGCCATAAGGGTGGTGTCATCTGCATATCTGAGGTTATTGATATTTCTCCCGGCAATCTTGATTCCAGTTTGTGTTTCTTCCAGCCCAGTGTTTCTCATGATGTACTCCTCATATAAGTTAAATAAGCAGGGTGACAATATACAGCCTTGATGTACTCCTTTTCCTATTTGGAACCAGTCTGTTATTCCATGTCCAGTTCTTTTTTTTTTTTTTTTCTTCCATGTCCAGTTCTAACTGTTGCTTCCTGACCTGCATACAGGTTTCTCAAGAGGCAGGTCAGGTGGTCTGGTATGCCCATCTCTTTCAGAATTTTCCACAGTTTATTGTGATCCACACAGTCAAAGGCTTTGTCATAGTCAATAAAGCAGAAATAGATGTTTTTCTGGAACTCTCTTGCTCTTTTGATGATCCAGTGGATGTTGGCAATTTGATCTCTGGTTCCCCTGCCTTTTCTAAAACCAGTTTGAACATCTGGAAGTTCATGGTTCATGTATTGCTGAAGCCTGGCTTGGAGAATTTTGAGCATTACTTTACTAGCGTGTGAGATGAGTGCAATTGTGCAGTAGTTTGAGCATTCTTTGGCATTGCCTTTCAGTGGGATTGGAACAAAAACTGACCTTTTCCAGTCCTGTGGCCACTGCTGAGTTTTTCAAATTTGCTGGCATATTGAATGCAGCGCTTTCACAGCATCATCTTTCAGGATTTGAAATAGCTCAACTGGTATTCCATCACCTCCACTAGCTTTGTTCATAGTGATGCTTCCTAAGGCCCACTTAACTTCACATTCCAGGATGTCTGGCTCTAGGTGAGTGTGAGTGATCACACTATTGTGATTATCTGGGTCGTGAAGATCTTTTTTGTACAGTTCTTCTATGTATTCTTGCCACCTCTTAATATCTTCTGATTCTATTAGGTCCCTACCATTTTTGTCCTTTACTGAGCCCATCTTTGCATGAAACATTCCCTTGGTATCTCTAATTTTCTTGACGAGATCTCTGGTCTTTCCTATTCTATTGTTTTCCTCTATTTCTGTGCATTGATCACTGAGGAAGGCTTTCTTATCTCTCCTTGCTATTCTTTGGAACTCTGCATTCAAATGGGTAGTATATCTTTCCTTTTCTCCTTTGCTTTTCACTTCCCGTCTTTTCACAGCTATTTGCAAGGCCTCCTCAGATAGCCATTTAGCTTTTTTGCATTTCATTTTCTTGGGGATGGTCTTGATTCCTGTCTCTTGTACAGTGTCACAAACCTCCATCCATAGTTCATCTGGCACTCTATCAGATCTAAACCATAGTTTAAAAGATACAGACTTAGAATAGCATTTGTATTTACTTAGTACCCATTGATTGAAAAAGTACATGACAAAAGGTGTCAATACCTTTTAGCAATGTTTGCTATTAGATTAGTGTTTTATTTATACCAATGTGGAAAACAGCAGTCCATAGAACTTGTGATAAATATTTACTGAATCCACAGATGATGTGTGCTGTGCAAAGGGATTTGAAGATCTGCCAGTGATTTTTGTCTCATGGTTTGGGAGCCAATTATTTGAGACAACAAAGGAAAAGATGTAACAAGCAGAGCCTGATCAACCACTAATTAAACCCTCCAGGCAGTAAATGGATAATGTGTGTGTGCTCAGTCATGTCCAGCTCTTTTGCGACCCCCATGGGTCGTAGCCCACCAGGCTCCTCTGTCCGTGGGGTTCTCCAGACAAGAATACTGAGTGGGTTTCCATTTCCTCCTCCAGGGGATCTTTCTGACCCATTTGCAGTTGAATCCTTGTCTCTTGTGTCTCCTGTTATAGGCAGGCGGATTCTTTACCAGCAGTGCCACCTGGGAAGCCCTAAGTGGATGCTGCTGTTTGCGTAAGATTTCTTAAACTTCTTAGGAAATTTCTTAAACATGTTGATTTCTTAAATGTTAAGACTTGTTCGCCATTGTAAATGGCACCAGAGACCGTATGGCCCCAACTGTGACCAGCCACGGCCTGTCTTCCTTGCCTTCTGCTCTTGGCTCAGACTCACTGCCCTCAGGGTTCCGTGGAAGCACGGATCTCATAAAGCTGATGCTTCCTGGGTGCTGTTTGCTATTATTTAAATCTCACATGTGACTTTCAGAGTTTGCCTAGTTTGGAGTCCACAGCAAACCTCCCAGCTTAAAAAAAAAAGCAAAAAACTCCCAGCTTATTTTGTCTCCAGAATTCTTAAAAAATTAAATAAATAAATAAACCGTTTATTTGTTTGGCTGTGCTGGGTCTTAGCTGTGGCCCGCGCTTCGTTGTAGCGTGCAGGAGGTTTCAGTTGTGGTCTGTGGGATCTAGTTGCTGACCAGGGATCAAACCTGGGTCCCCGGCACCAGAAGTGCAGAGTCTTAGCCACTGGACCACCAGGGAAGTCCCCCCAGCATTCTTTCAAATGGTCTTAATTCCCTAAATCTCATTAAAGCAGAAGAAAACACGGGAGTGGGTGAGACGCGCGCCCCTTTCAACAATCCACTGGGAGCCTGTCTGTTGGACAGCAGTGTCACCGCGGAGGTTCTGAGAAGAGGCGGCTGCTTTTAATGGCTCCCCAGTGCAAAGGACCCCTACTCCCTGACATTCGGGGCACCCCCTCTTATAGTCAATCCCCGAGTTTTCCTCTGGCCGCTCTGAAACAGTACTGCCCTGCCTTTTCTCTGGAGGAATCTGATAAAATTCTATGAGTTTCCATCCCCGCCATATCACTCTGGGCAGAAGAGGCCCCGTTTTTTTCCCTCTTACAGAAGGTTGTCCATCGTGTTAATTCAAACATCTCTGCCAGGATCTCCTGGTGAGGCCCGGACAATGCCAACATGCTCAGCACGATGGCCTTCAAGTCAGCCGGGCAGGGCCTTCCAAGAGCAACGTGTCCTAATGGGTGGGTTTCACTCTCCTCCTGATTGTGGCCCCAGCCAGACCTTGAGGAAGTGGTTCAGGGAAGAGCCCACAAGACCTTCAGGTCCTCTTCCTGGACAATCGGGAGCCTGGCCTCAGGCCAGGACAGCCTGGGGGGTAGGACCTGAGCGTTACCTGCCGCATCTCCACCTGAGGCCCATGACTTCATTCCTGCTGATCTGTGACCCGGTCCCCTTGTCCCCTTGCTGGCTTCACCTGGGAAGCGCAGGCAGCTTGATTTTTGTGCAGGGGTCCCAGCCTTTCCTCTGCCCACCACCCCTCCTCCCAGGAGCCCTAGGAATACAGGACGAAGCATTTTGGGATACGCTCCCTGTTTCTGCAGTGAAATGAATCTCTCTGTGCAGCCGGCCTGCCTCGGGCTTTGGCAGCCTCTGGGCACAAATGAGGTCACGTCCCTGGGTCCCTGCAGCCCGACTCTGCAGAGCCTGGACTGTCTTCCCCGACCCTGACCCCACCCCCACCCCCTGAGACGTGTCTGAGGCTCCCAGCACACCCTGGATTCTGAGATGGTTCTGAGTGGCCCGCGTGGACAGCGCAGTGGGCACTCTTTGGGTCCCTGTAACTTGAACAACCACAGCCTATCAGCTCCCTGACAGTCCTTGGGGCCGTGACACCCACGGGGTCAGTGGGATCACGGGGCACGGCAGCTGCTAGGATGGAGCTGGGATCAGCTCTGCCTCCTGGCCACGGCTGCTGGCACTCGCAGAGCTTGGGGAGCCCACTGGTCACCATGTGCTGCCCTCGGCCGTACCGGGGCTGGGGGGCTGGGCTCCGGCTGTCCCCGAGGGCACAGCTGCCTGTTTAGCCATCGGCTCCTACTGGCCTCGGGGTCAACCTTCCTTAACTGACCCTGGCTCTGCAGAGCTGCAAGAGAGAATGGTATTGCCTAAAGAAACTGCCCAAGTCCTTGATGTTCCAGCTCTGAGAGCGCAAACAAACCTGAAGCTTTCTTCCTCCAGGTACAGAGTATCAGGACAACTGGGTCACGTGGACTTCAGTTTAAGTCCAAGACGCTTTGCCTGAAATCAGTTCTCTGATTTTTATGTTCAGAGCTGATAGACTCTAGAGTTGTTCAGTGCACAACTGTTCACAGCAACCTTTGGTGCTCTCTCTCGGCCTCTGTTGCCCTCGCTGTAATAGGGATGCTTTGCAATCCTTCATCCACGAGAGAGTCGGAGATCCACTTGCTCCTCGCCTCCCATATGAATCAGTCTTTATAAACATTTGCAACAGCAGAGAGATGCTGGCAGAATGTTACTTGAACCCCAACCTGTGTCCTTGAAAGACAGCCTCTCCCATCTCTTTAGCCTCTCAGATCATTGTGAGACATAGAGACCAGTATATCTTGACAGCGAGTAAGTGTTCCTCGTACCAGGAATCCCTGCCAAGCCGCCTGGAACAGGAAATAGAGTCATCACTGGGGTCACAGCCCCTGTGTTTTCTTGACGTCAGCATTTCTGCTGCTACTCCCTGGATAGAGACCATCTGCTGAAACACCCGCCTCCGTCTGCGTCTCCTTTTGTCACCGCTGTGAGGGCTGCGGGGGGTCTCGGAACAGGCTCTGCGCCTCTGTCCTTCTCCGCACCTCCCGGGGCTCCGTGCCTCTGTGGACACTGCTCAGGCTATGCGCCCACCGCTCGGGTGCCTGCGGCTGGGTCATTGGACCTTTATTTGTCAGAACAGAGTCCCAGCTGGCTACTTCAGACAATGAGATAATCAATAGCGTTAGTGATTCAGCGTCCACAGATTTTCTCCGCACGGCTCACGGTGCCCGTGGAGAAATAGGACTTGAAAGAGTTTACCAGGCGGCTCAGACAAGTGAGCTGAAAATACTGGCGAACAATGACATCTATATATAGGACTGCCCCGGATCCATCGCCGGCCGCAAGCTTTGATACCAGGCCTCTTTCCTCACCCAGCTCTGCTAAATGCCAGAGCTGCTTGTGAAGGACTAACCGGGCCCCTCATTATGGTCTTGTTTGATTTGGGGGCAGCCACGATGAGACCATCACACAGCCCAGAGCCTGGTGGGGTCGTGGGCCAGAGTCCAGGCTCAGCTCTCCCTGTGACCCGCTGTGCCAGCCTGCAGGTCACTTAACCCCTGGGGTCTCTGTTCTCTCATATGTGATTCAAAAGGACGACATTAGCAGAGATGAGAGGAAAGTGGTTTTAAAGGCAGGCAGAACTGGGTTTTAACCCCAACTCCTCCCACTGTCCAGATGGTCATGCTGTTGAATGCTGAGCTGGCTTCCTCTTCAGTAAAATGAACAAGTGCGTACTCACCGGGCCAGCCTGGGAGGGGATGTAACAGGAAAAACATGTGCCGGACGCATAGTAGGTCTTCAGTCAGTGCTGATTTGTCCTTTGCTCTCTGAAGACTTGCCCAGCTTTACTAAAAGCTGGACTTGGAGTCAGAAAGCCTGGATCTGAGTCTCAACGGTTTCAGCGTGTGCAGGTCACATGGTGTCTCTGAGCCTGTCGCGGCATCTTGTAACGGTCTTCTCGCTCCTGGGAGCAAACGGAACAATGCAGGTGAAAGTGCCTGAAGACATAAAAGATGGTACAAGTCAGAAGGTGGGGGTCACTCCCCCGGCTCACCCCCAGCTGTCACCCTGTCTGGGCCCTTCGTTGCATCATTAAAAACTCCCAAGGAGTGGATGAGGAGACGGTGTGCCCTCTCAAAGGGTCCACATGTGTGTTTCCACCGCTCAGCCTGCCTTCTCAGTGAGTATTTTAGAAGCATCATTCCAGTTACCACCCAGCCCAGGAGGCTCCGAGACCAGTGGTCAGCTGAACACGCCTTCACAGATAGCCCCTGACCGCAGGGTCTTCAGTGAGGCCGGGGAGGCAGAAGCCGGCACGGTCCCAAAACAACAGGTGAGCCTCCTGCTGGAGTCCCAGCCGGCCGGGCACTCAGGGGTCTGTGTGGCGGAGCTCCTGGAGGAAGGCTCACTCTCAGAAGAGTAGGGGAGGGCAGGCATCACTTCCTGGGGGTCCTCCCCAGACCGCATGGCCGTGCTCCACAAGGGGACACGCGGGCCTTGTGCTCACGCCTGCTCCCCGACGTGGAGACGCCATCACTTCCCTCCGGCATTTCCTATAACAGCCAACGACCCCTGAGTTCACGGCTCAGCAGCTAGGAACCTGACCCCTGGCCCCTCGGGCACCTGGACACACATTCTTATAAACGTTTCATTTCAGGGTAAGGGAATCAAGCGCAACCGTCCCCTTGTGACACAGCAGACAGAGGGCCAGGAAGGCGTTTAATTGGATTGAGGAGACTTTAAAAACGGGTTTTCACGGCTGGGATCCATATGGAGTAGTAGGCGATCAGCACAGTAATGGCATTTTGCAGTTGTAAGAACCTTAGGTGAAAGCGCCTCTGAATTTTCATAGAACCAAAAAAAAATGCATGTACGAAATGAAAATGTTTTCTAGATGTTTATGAAATCCTGTATGAATTATTCTATCTAGTGTTCATGGAAATTGTTTCCCATCTCCAGGGAAGTATCGCTCACTGATTCAGTCAGGGGAGCTCAGATGCTGGCCTTCCTGAGAGTCAGAGAGGGTGTCGGCACGGGGGGTCTGGGCAGGGTGACCCCCTCCGCGATGACTTGTGTCAAAACATGGGGACATTCTCCAGCGTTCCCCTCCGAGCGACCCCACCTCGCACTGGGTTCTCACCTTCCTAGCCCGCCCACATCCCCAGCGACGCCCTGGCACCGGATTTCATTCTCACGGCCGGGTTCAGAGGACGTCTGTGCCCCTCCACGCCCCTAACCCTCCCCCGACCACAGCCCGGATCTCAAGCCTGGGGTCTGCTTGGAGCCGTGGTGTCAGCTAAGCCTGACAGCCGCACGTAGATCAGGGCGTCCAGACAGGCCCTGCGGAGCCCTGGGTCCCAGGAAGGCGCCTCAGGGCCCCTGGAAGGGGTGGGAGAGACACAGGGGGCCTGAGTTCGGGTCCCCAGTCCCCCCGCATGTGGATGACTTCCCTGGCCCCCCCCCTCCGCCGCCAGCTGGGGTGGTCACTGGGGAGAGCGGGCAGGAGCCTGGGGTGAGATGGGGGCGGGGCTGGGCTGGAGCCTCTCTCGTCAGTTCTGCCTCCGATGTGCCAGGGGCCTGGGGTGGGCCTGGGGGGACTCGGTGTGTAACGGGGACGGGGTTTCAGTTCAGGGAGGTGAAACCCTGGGAGATGACGACAGTAATGGTTGTGCACCGGTGTGGATGCTTTCAGTGCCACTGGACTGAACAGCTACATATGGTGAAGACAGTAGGTTTTATATTACGTGATTTTACCAAGAGTTCTTTAAGAATGCATAAAAAGAAAAGAAAATCAACCAGTGTCCTCACTTAGTAGCTCGAATTAGGGGAGGGGGAGAGAGATCACACCAGGAAAATGGATAGATGTCACACACGTTAAGAACACTGGCTGGCACACCCTGGCAGCGGGACATTCATTCTACTGACTTTCTTCTTGTGGGGCAGCTTCGGGCTGACCTTGATGAAGGCCGTTCTTGGAGCAGTCTTCTCCGCACGCTCATCTTCCGGGCACTGCTCTGTCTCAGCTTTCCCAGCTTGCCCCAGCTTCGTAAGCAGTCTCCGTGTTGATGAACTCCAGATGACCTTCATTCGAGTGGCCCCTTGTCTCCTGCACAGATCACGGTGGACGCGGCGGTGAGCAGATGAGTCACAGGCGCTGGCCAGGTCACACCTGGGAGTGAGCTGTGCTGGTGACACGTCCTAGAACTGCAGTCCACTCCTCAGAAGAGCCAGGAGAAGCCCCCAACCATGGGTGACGGCCACGTTCTCTGTCTTAAAAACATCTTCTCCCCAAAAGTTTTGTCCCCTAAGGCCTGCCTTTCCCAACAACTCCTCTAGTCCTAGGATGGAAAAAAAAAAATCCCCTTTTTCACAAAGCTGACTTTGGAAACCCCCAGGCCCCACTGCAGACCCCCTCAGGGGAGAATCTCTACAGCGTGGGGCCAATGGCCTCACATTCTGGAAGCTGGTTCTGGGGGCAAATCCAGCCCAGGGGCTCTCAACCTTCACTGTGTGTGGCAATCCTCTGGGAGCTCCAGACAGTCTGATATCGCACCCACAGGCCAGAGAGAGCAGGCTCTGATGGACACTGGCTGTAAGGCCCAAGGAAAGACTCTCTGATCCAGTGTGTGTCCTCAGGAGATATGGGAAGTCACATCTCACTCTCGGGGTTGCTGGGAGGACCACGTGGCTGGCAAGCAGCTGTTGGCGTGAACCTCCACCTTCACCACCCACCCCACTCACCCCCAGCACCCCCAGCACTGTCCTGGGCCGAAAGAACAAAGCCGGTCACTGGAAGATCCAGACCACTGGGTTCTGAAGAGTGGTCCTTGGATCCCAGCATCACTCCAGAACTTGCCAGAAACCCAGATCCTCCGACCTCATCCTAGATCCACTGATGCTGAAAGTCTGGGAATGGGGTCCAGCAATTGAAGTTTCAACAAATCTCCCTAATGATTCCGACTCATGCCAAGTTCAAGGCGCTTTATCTGTGGTGACTTCTAGAATTGCCAGCTGCGTCTTCTCCCTGCATCAGCCTGGGTTAGACCCTTCAGCCGACTGGACTCTCCCACGCCATATACACCCCGGCCTTAAATTCTCACCACTCAGTTCAAAACCAGCCCTGCTACCAGCACCTCCCACCAGCTCGCGAGGGAGCTGTCTGAGCACAGGCTGGTTTCCGGGGTTCACTGCCCGTGGAACTAGGGGGCAGGGCCAACACAAAGACGGAGTCACCAGCAGATCCATGGCCACCATTTGGGGGAAGAAGTTACTTTCCTGTTTTGATTTTGAAAACCCGGTTTTGCGACTAGTTTGGGCTTCCCTGATGGCTGAGATGGTAAGGAATCTGCCTGCAGTGCGGAGACGAGGGTTCAACCCATGATCGGGAGGATCCCCTGGAGAAAGAAATGGCAACCCACCCAGTATTCTTGCCTGGAGAATCCCATGGACAGAGGAGCTTGGCGGACAACAGTCCATGGGGTTGCGAAGAGTTGGACACGACCGAGTGGCTAACACTTTCACTGTGTTTACTAACAAGTGACTCTGCTAATTCTTTCTCATGAGATAAGGACCCTTGCGATAAATATGTCTGCCCTTGGGACATAGCATCTTGGAAGGAGCTCTCTTTTAAGGCCCATGGTTACGTGTGTGTGTGTGGTTGCCTGGATGTGTGCCTGTGAGTCTGGGGTTAGGGTATGTAGGTAGTAGGATTCGAGGAGAGAGAAAGGCAAGACTGTCTCTTTGTGATGAAAAAGTTCCACTAAAGGGTCTGGTTTGGAAGCTTTGGGACAGGATGGGCTGGAGCAGGGATGTGTGGCTACGGAGCCTTCCCATTCCATCCATGTGCTCATCTCTCGGGCATGGAGGGAAGGGCCCAGAGCCCTGAAGACCAGTCCAACCAGGGGGAGACCTCCTTCACTCAGTGGGAGAAGCCCATGTGCCGTCACAAACCCCAGCTGGAGCTCTACCCTCCTGTTGGGTTAGACACGGGTATCCGGCGAGTGTGGACGCTGGCTGGAGAGACACTGATTAGGGTTCCATCACGAAGCCAGCGTCCTTGCCTGGCCGGCTCGTGACCTTGCAGAGAACCTCCTGCTTCCCCCTAAACTGCAGTCCTTGTCCATCTTGCAATTTCTTTGAAGTGGGGCTCCCTCACGTGTATGAAAAGGGCCCTAGGATTTAGAGGTCATCCCTCACTGCAGCGGATGCAAAGATGCAAATGAGCTCAGATTTGCTCACAAAACATGAGATCACCAGCTGGGCTGCTCTTCATCTCATTGTCTTCAAACTCAGCAGCAGGGAGGACTTCGGGCGGCCAAAGGGATGAAATGTCAGACAGCATGGGGACTTCTCTCCGCTGGGCAGCCTGGTCCATGTCAGCTGCTGCCAGTGGTTCAGCCACGAGCTGTCTCCGGTGGGTACATTTTAACCCATGTGTAACAGGCGATGGTGTCCAAGTGGAACTGTGGGTGGCCCTGCAGCATAAGATGCGATGGAGACTCATTACCTGACAAAAAGAGTTCTGTCGCTTTTATCTGTAGATGCAAATCCTGCAGCAGAGTCTTCACAGGTGGGAGAGGAGCCTGTTACAGATTTATCACTCAGGATTTGACACGACAATTCACCCTTCAGATCTTTATCCAAGAAGATTCTTCACGTGGCATCATTTTCTCTGAATGTTTTTACATCTTAAATATGTAAACATTTCACACAGACCTTGGTTCCATTCATTGTTTCGTTAGGATGATGAGGATGATTATGGAGTAAATTAAGGACCATAATCATAAACGTAAAATGTGTCTTGATGTTTATGAATCACGGTGGTGAAACTGCTTTATTTCTCTGTGTTAGATCCTTGTCAAATTCCTTTTAAATGTGGTTTAAAAAGTAATGTTCTGGTGCAAACCAAGATTTTTGTAACAAAAGTTAACCAAGAGCCTTAGATGTTGTTGCTAGGGGGGCTGTCGGAGGTGAAGTCTGGTCCTTACTGGGGACCTCCTGAGCCAAGAGTGATGATGTACATTGCTTAGGGACAGTCTATAAGACGCCCTTTAAGATTTCATCCCCAAAGGCAACACACACAGAGCATCACAAGATGTTGGGGAGATACTGGCCTGTTATGCTAATATTTGCCTTCTAAAAACCGTGGGCTTCCAGGACTCACCGAAGTATTAGACTTAATCTGTTAGCAAGTCATGCAGCACCTGCTAGGCCCCTTATGTCTGACCACCGGGCACCCTGGCTTCGTCCTCAGAAACCTGCCTCTGATTCCCTCAAGGGACCCCACGCTCCCTTCTCTGTGTCTCCTCTAAGCACCGTCTCTTTCCCTAGAGTTTAGATTCCATCACAGAAATGAAAGTCTACGGCTGATTTCTAAAATAGGGCGTAGTGTCCAGAAAAAGCAGGGTGATTTCTACGCAGTTGAATTACAAGTAAGATAAGAAAGGGGCTTCCCGGGTCGCTCAGTG